TTTTTTTTTTTTTTTTTTTATGTCACCAATAATTACTATGTACCATGCATTTTCCCCTTACCTTTAAAGCAAAGTTAAGATGACATATATTTCATATTTGTGTGGAATTGTGTGTTTAGATTAGCTAACTTGGCAATTATGTCTCATCTTAGACTTGGCTAAGTAAGGAAGATAACTTTTGCTACTAAATTAAGCTCATCAATTGTTTATATTATTATATATATGGGTGGTAAATGGTAATAGAAATCTTTGATTAATTCCAAAGCTAACATCATATACCAAAAAGAAAGAAAGAAAAAAAAAATAATAAATCACCACAAATGATGAACATTATTGATTGCAAAAAATAGTTATATTACCACAAAGATTAGAGTACTTTATGACATCCAAAGCACAAAATAAATTAGTTAAAAGTTGAGCACTTGGAATATTTGATAGAATCCTATAAAAATCAGAATTCAAGCTTCTTGTTCTTACATATAATGCAATTAAACACCACAACTTTTATGCTATATACCTCATTTTGGACAAATATCTCATGCCTTAAATGCAAGCCAATTTATTTCTCACAATTTCTATTCCATTTGATTATATTGATGCATCACATGTTTATATGATAACATTGTTTTAAATAGCTCGCTGTGTAGTTCGTTGTATCTCGCTATATAACTATTTTTTTTTTCCCAAAAAGCGTTGCGTAGCATTAGCGTTTTTCCCGAAAAGCTTACGCAAAATGCTGAAATGACAAGTTTTTTAAAGTTATTTTCCGTTATTTCACGATATTGTGTGGGCGATATTGCGTTGTATTTCTACAAAGACATTTAAACAATAAAATATTTCAAAATTAGTATTTTTCGAGAATTAGAGTCATATTTATGAAAACTAAAAATTAAACGTTTGATAATGATTTTAAATTAAAAGTTTGAAAATGCAAAAGTCCAAAGTTGAATAGTGCAATATTTATTGGTCAGTTTCTATTATATCATTTTAATTTTCGATACTTAACATTTAAATAAAGAATAAAAAATTCATATATAGTGGTTAAAATTATACTAAAATTAAGTTGTAGTTAAATAAAAATAATAATTAAAATGCATATACTAAAAATTAAACTATGACTTACCTCATTATATTTTTATTGTTTGTTTTTAACTTTTAGTATGTTTGCTATATTTTTTAAATATTTATATTCTAATATTTACATTATACATTTATGAGAAATAATTCTTATATATGTTCTTTTTGAATTCATTCAAATATTATGAGAATTTTTTGAATCAACCAGCCAATTTCATTAATTAGATACAAATATATTTATAACATTCCTATAAAACTAATTTTATACTCAAATAGTTTACGCAACACACACGCAACGCAGTGTAATTAAGATCAAAACACGACGCATTACACTATACGCGTTTTGTAATACAATATTTATACATGTGATATGTGTCAAATTAATTAAACAAGAAATGAAAAGTGAGATCCGATTCGGGTAACTTTTGCAAAAGAGAAAAAATAAAAGAAAAAGAATGAAAGAATATTGAAGGTGTGATTAATTAAGGAATAGCTTTAGAAGAAGAAAAAATGTTACAAAAAGGAAAATCTGTAATAAATATTTTGTGTTGTGCCCAAGAAAACTGTAGATAAATGATTAGCAGCTGAAAAATAAACAAAATTAAATTCCCCATCCAATCATTAATTAATTTTACTTAATTTGTTTTTTTATCCTCATAATTTGATCAAGGCTAGTCACATTAAAAGCTAATTAAAGCAAGATTGAGAGGAAAACTAAAAAAAAAATAATTAAGGAGAAATTAAGAAACTAATAACTACTGATTAACAGACATTTCCTAAACTCCCCAAGACTCGTTCTTTTCTTGTTCTCCGGCTAACTAAATAGCTTAATTATTATTATTCCGGCAAAAAAAGGATCTGAGAAGAAGAAGATGAGCCATTTGTAGGTTTGTACCCATCGCTTGAGCAGTTGTACCTTCAGATGAACTCCGGCGAAAGAGGGTTTAAGCAGAGAAGAAGATGAGCCATTTGTAGTTTTGTACCATTAATTGCTTGAGCAGTTGTACCATCAGGTGAACTCCGGCAAAATGGGGGTTTAAGAAGAAGACGATGAGCCATTTGTACCAATGGCTTGAGCAGTTGTACCTTCATGAAGACTGGGTTTGACGTCAGCACCATTTCCGTCATGGAAGTGGTGGTAGATTGCGCCGTTTCCGTTCGGGGCGGCGGATGCCGCCGGTGGATTGTCTTTCTTGGCGAAGTTGTTCTTGTTGTTGTGCATCCACACCTTGAAAACCCCTCTGTCGACTCCGATCTCGCTGCAGAACTCGTTGGTGGCGTCGTCGTCCCTCCGCTGCATTTTCCAGCCGACTTTCTCGGAGAAATCGAGCATCCTCTGCTTCTGGTAAGTGGTGAACTTCGTCCGGAAGCGTTTCCGGCCGCCGGAACTCATCGCGGGCACGGATGCGCCGCCGGAGATCGAGATCGGGATGGACCCGTCAGGCGGGGGGGCGGGCTGGCCGCCGTGGCTGAGGGCCAGCAGCACGTGGGGCGCCGACGGGAAGTACGACGTGGAGATCGGCGGCGGGGACGGGGATTCGTCCGGGCTGCCGCTGCCTCCGCGCGGCGGCGGGGGATGGTGGCGGTGGTGGGGCTGGTACTCGAGGGCGGGCGGCGGAGGCGGCGACTCGTCGGGGTCGCGGCGGTGGAAGTTGCGGTGGCATCCGCACGCGGCGCACCTCAGGGAGGCGGGCTCGGCGGGGTTGGAGGCCGGCGAGGGCATGAACTCGCCGCAGCCGTCGAGGGCGTGGCCGCCGAGGCTGGCGGCGTGGTTCTTCAGGCACTCCTTGTAGGTGACGACCACCGGGTGGTGGGGATGGTGGAGACCCAGCGGCGCGTGGCGCTTCAGCACACCGTTGCTTAAAGGCGGCGCCTTTGCCGGCGGCTGGATCCGGGCCGGGTTCTGAGCCTCTGTTTCGGGGTCTGGAGTTTTGACTGTGGAGTTTCCGAGGTCCATGGCAATAAATTATGAAACCCCAATTTTATTTCTTTATTAAAGATTGAATTTTTTTTTTAGGGTTTTGAGCAGAGAGAAGATTCTTTAACCATGAGAGAGAGAGAGATAGAGAATGCTTCTGGTTAATTTTATGATGAGATGAAGAAGATGATGAGACTGTACATAATAAAAATCTTGGCTTTTTTTTTTATTTTAAATAAATTTTTAATATTTTTTTTGTGGTTGTCCTTCTTGGTTAGTGGTTACAAAGGGTTTGCTTTTTAAATTTTAACCCGAGTTGTAATATTAATCATGGTTACACCTAAGGTAGTCAGTCCAATTGGGGATATGTTTTGTCCTGTGAAACTCATAAATGCTGCTGCTTTGGCTTAATTTCTACCACTTTCAAGTTTCACACACATATTGGATCAGATGGAGTTTATTTAACATTTATGTATTTTGATTTGTGGGTAACATGACTATAATTTGGGTGGGAGATGCTACATTCTCGTTACCGAACCATTTCGACGGAGTTTGTAATCATTAGATCAATCCCGACTGTTACATGATGATCCAACGGCTACGAACTTCGACAGAAAGATTCCGTAACAGACCTTAGCATTTTCCCCAAAATTTTGTGTGTTTGAATAATTATCTTATGGTAAGTTGAAAGTGTAACTCAAATAAATTTTATTACTTTAGGTGCATTAATTCATAAAAAATATGTAATATAAATGAAATGGTAGCTATGATTTTGTTAGGTTATCTAACCATTTTTCAATTATATATTTGTTTTCTTTTAGTTATCTTACTACTATTAGCTAATCATACTTTTACTAGTATAATCATACTTTTACTATAAATATTGTACACTTCCACACTCAAATATGTCTTAACTTAAATTGTAAAAAAAGTAAAATTATGACATTTTATTGTAAAATTATGTGCTTTTTTTTACACAATTAATTATACGTAACGATCGAGTAGCTTAACAACAATATTTGTGTAAATAAAATAACGTTACACACAAAATTATACGAATAAAATAGTAATGTAACCATAATAATATGTGAATTTGGATGATTTTATGATAGAGCATTTTAGAACTGTAAACAAGTCTAATTGAGAATTGGTTTTATCAGCTATAAACTCGATTGTTTTTGTTATTGCTCGAGTTCGAAGTTCAAACAGTCTAATCCTTATAAAACGCATGCTCAAAATTGATTTGAATTCAGATTCGAGGTGCTCAAACTCGATAAAAACGATTACGAGGTAGCTCAATTTCTTCATAGCCCTATTCACAAACACGCATGGAATTTCTATTTAAACACACACATATATGAATAGATTGATGCAAGGAATTTGGGCACAAGCCTATTAACTAAATCATGTAGTGTCCTTTTATTTTAATGTGAGGAAGATGCACACATGCCCAAGCCATAAATAAAAATTAATGTTTTTTTTTTTTTTGAACCTTTGGTTAAAACAATAATAGAAAATGTACCAAAAAGTAACAGAGTTGATTAGTACAAAGGTAGCGTGAGAGAGTTGAATAAATTTCTTTAACCACATTCCTTCCTCTCTATTAATTCAAAACGTGTTTAGTTTAGGCGGCAGATTCTCACGATTCGAATATTGATATGACGAAAATTTATAATTCGTGATGTTGTTTTTATATTATTTTTGCTATAAAATTAGGTTTTAATTTTATATATATATTCATTAACTCAACACGACATGAATATTTGTACTAGTTTGACTTATATTAAAACAAAAGGCAGGATTGTGCAAATCTGCCATTTTTTTTATTTTTATTTTTATTTTTATTACTGAGCTTATCTTAATTTGTCAAAGTTGCCTGAACCCCACACACTACCCCTAAAACCAACTTGACCTTTTTCTCTCCTTCTCATTCTGTAATACCCATATTGCCCTCTTTTAAAAAAGAAAAATGAAAATATGTAAATATATTTAATTCTGAATTCTGTGTAAATTGTTAAATTTTTATACAACAAGACACTAAAAATAACTCTTTTTAACTTTAGGTTTAAAAATCGTAAAAACACGATGATTAATCGGCGAATTCTTCCAATATTTCGGCATCGTAAATGATTTAATTTGTTATCTCGCTTTTTAGGTCTTAATTGACTATAATTTATTTATCCGCTTGGTCTGTAGTTTTTCTCAATGTTGTTTAATTAGATCGACTAAAAAAAATAATAACAAATGTCAAATATCGATATGAATAAAAAAAATGTTAATTCAAACAAGAATTTTCCTTCGAACTTGGTTCGAATCTAGTTTGAGATAGTGATCATATTATTGTAAATTATACTCATACTCGAGTCAGCTAGTTGAGCAATCAAACTTGTAATATACATTCTCAAATTCAAGTTTGATACTTCGACATTCTTAAGCTCAACTAATGCTAGATTGAGCTCGAGCTTTCGCGAGCGACTCGGGAGAATCTCGATTCATCTTAAGCCCTAACCGACACACACCACTAAGGGCCTAATTGAATATAAGTTATTTTTTATTTAACTGAATTTGTTTAATTGAGTGAGTTTAAATTCTGTGAGCAGATGAATAGTGAATGAAACTTAATATATGATATGTGAGCATGATTGATTAATAATATTTAATTATATTAATAATAATTGAGAAAAGTTTACTTGAATTAAAATAAATTGAATTTTGAGTTAAAAAATTTGCTTGATCAGTTATAACTATATATTTTATAATCATTTCATGCCCTAATATCACAAGTATGTTCATCACATGAAATGGATAAACATGATTACATGAGATGTAAAAATTTGGAAGTTTGTAAGTTGTTTAATTTATTTTTCCTTAGAGGGGTAAATATGTCATATATGTGAATCCATGTGGGCCGTCAGTTACAGTCTTGCAATTTTTTATTTTTTATTTTTTATTATTTTTTTTAAACCACTTTTGTCTTGTAAGTTGTACTTAACAATAAACTATTTTAATTTTCTCTAACAACTTATTTTAATATTAATTAAACTAAATACTGTCCCAGATCCCTAGTTGAGCTGCAATATTAAAAATAATTAGAATCTTCTACAATAGAATTGTGTTGTTTTTTTAAGTTTAATCTGTCTCTGTTTATATAACAATTATAAAAAGTGTGATTAAGCACTTCTTAATCACAGCCATTTACAGCAACGTGTCAAATTAAACCTCCCTTTTTCTCCACGTGTCTTAACTAAGTACTTTTATTAAGCTGGAAATGTGCGGTTGGATCCCAAGCTTCTTAGTTTGACTTTGCTCGTCGAGCTCATTTAGCTAACGAGTCGACGTTCGTTAAGTTCACAAGAATATGAGTTTTTTTTTTTTTTTTTT